ATACTAATATAAATACTGAAGAGATACAAGTTTTCCAAGGGGTGTTTGATGTTACATAAATGGTAAAGCATCTCAGACATTATGAAAATATTTTGTCATCTGAAAAATACCAAATGGTTTGTGCCATGCTTTCTCTTTTGCTTCCTTCCTTGTGACTCTATTAAAAATAGTTGTATTTTTGAACATACCAATTATATACTTGTATATTTGTATTGATAGAATTGGAAAGCATTATCTTATTATGGTAAAGCATTCTTTAATAACTTTGGAGAGGAATTTTCTGCTATTACACATTTGAATATTAAAGAACTGTTGGATCTGAAACTTCCTTTGGAATATTAAACAATGGCCTCCTGCCCCCACAATGATTCTCAAGGCCTTTGCTGCAAAGACGGGGAGGAGGGCATGGGAACAGCTGCTCTCTGTGGAGCACCTACAGGCATGGTAAAAGGTAGTTTTTATAGATTAATTCATTAGAACCTTCTTGCAGCTCAGAGGAGCCAAGAAACTTGACTGAGGTTCCACAGCAGGTAAGTGGGGGACAGAAATTTGAGCCCAAGTCTCTCTGACCACAGATCATGTTCTATTTTATTTTAAATTACATAAATAACACACTGCAAATACTTCAGAGAACATACTCGTAGGATAAAAGTTAAACTCACCCTTTTACAGAGCTCTTCCTAACTCCCCCCAAGAGGTAATGACCATTTCTTAGTTTGGTGCCTCTTCCCAGCGTGTGTGTGTGTGTACTACATGCATATTTATGCACATAAATACATTGTTTTAAACAAAAAATAAGTGAAATCATATGCATATATGTATTGTTTTGTCTCCCTGTAAAAAATAATTTTTCCTTCCTGACTCCTAGGTTTACAGATTTTTGTCTATCAAGCAGGCTCATTAAGAAATAACTTCCTCATGTCTATTAAGTGATGTGAATATGAATGCCAATCAAGGTGAAATAACTAGTATTAACTCACTGAGTCTAATAATTCTTGCTAAGAGCAAAATATCTTTTCTTACTGTTTATAGACTCACCTCTAGTAATTGCAACTTCTGTTTAAATGTTTCTTTGGATATGACATATTTTAAAGAATTATAGATAGTATATTATTTGCAAGCTATTTATAGCTTACACACAATTATATAACATGTAAAATACACTGCCATATTGTTTTATTTATGAATTGGGATTAAATAGGCAATCCAAATTCAAATTTAAAGGTTTTTTTACAAAATGTTTAAAAATGTTTGGTCAAATGTTAAACCTTGTTAATTTCCCAAGTAAAGAAAATGGCTCTTGAACCCCTCCTGCCTTCTTTGAGACCTTATGGGGTACCTGGCCAGAGACATCATGGTATTGTACTGTGGGACCCAGAGGACTAGGGAATGAATTGGTAAGGCTTTCTATGAGGACAGATGCTGGAGTTTGCCTTCCTCCCATCATTTTCAGTTTGAAACCTTTGAACAAGCTGAGATGGAGAGTCAGTATTTAACGGGTATGTTCTTTTCACCAGGCTGGGTTTCCATTCTGGCAGAAGCAATGAAGTCTCACCACATTATGAAGGCCTCACATGCTGCCAGAACCCTGGCTAACCTAGACCGAGAGACAATGCAAGAAAAATACCAGGATGGCGTGTATGTGCTGCACCCCCAGTACCGCACGAGGTAAGAAAGCAGAGCAGTCGCGTTGTCCCCTGGGGACGTAAAGCCTAGAGGGCTTAACATTTTATTTCTGCATAACTCAGATAAGTTAAATCTGATACTTTATACTGACACAATTTGTCCAGAATAATCTTGGAAGAATTGTAGACTGTTGTGAGAGTATGGAACCAGCTAGATCATCAGGGCTGTCTTACACCCAGGGCTTACCTTCAGAAAGGTTGCATTCACCTTTTATGTGGCCCACTTAACCTCTGTAATGCATAGTTCTGCTTTGTTTCATTACATTTTTCATGTAGATCTGAGTTAATAACTGACTTAGATTGTAGAGGTCGGTATGGATGGAAAGAACATAGGACATTTATATTACAAGCAGGCAGCTGTATTATCCTACAACTTAAGGGACTGAAGATAGTTTGTACCACGTATAAAAGCATGCACCAGAAAGAATAAGTTGAAATAAATTTGAATTATGCTCCTTCTCATGGTTATTTCTGCTCATTATTTCCAATTTTATCATTGGTGAGACAATAAATCTAGAAAAGAACCACAGTGAAAAAATTATGTAATTTCTTAGATTTTTGTCTGGAACTTTAATACCTCAGAAAATAGAGACTACGTTTTTTTTACTTGAAAAATAGATTGCCTGGTTAATCTCAATTTGTAAATAAAACAATACAACAATGTATTTTATAAGTGTTGCATAATTGTGCATATGCTATAAAAAGCTTGCAAGTAATATACTATCTACAATTTTTTTAAATGTCATATCCAAAGAAAAAAGTTACTTTGAAATTTCATTTGCTCTGTTTCTGATAAACATTTTCCTTGATAAATTTTTAAAACTCCCTCATGCATAGTGAAACCATTCTATCATATTTGTATTTAAATTGACTTGTGGAATATTCCCGTGTAGTTCTTTGGAGTTAATCTCATACAGTTGGTTTTGGTTGGGCCGCTGGCAGCTATGTCCCTGTTTTGACAGAGTGTGCCAGGCACACACTCTGGTGTCTTCACCTAAACTCCTCTTAGGGCTCCCCAGCAAGCCTGAGCTTACAAAGCTTGCCTTAAGGAAGTTCTGCTTTATGTCATGAAAACCTGCTAGGCACCGTCCACGAAGAGTGAGTGTAGATACCTCTCCAAGCAATAACGCATTTGTTCAGCTTCTTTTCTCCCTCTCTCCCCTCTTAGTGAGCCCATTAAAGCAGATGTCCTTTTCATTCATGGCCTTATGGGAGCAGCATTTAAGACATGGCGCCAGCAGGACAGCGAGCGGGTTTTGCCCGAAAAGATTTCAGAAGATGAGGCCAGGTATACAACATGCTGGCCCAAGGTAAGGAAGTAGCTTACTCTGTCTGGGAGGCCACCTTTCCCTGGCACTGCAGCAGCCCTAGGTGCCAACACCCTCATTGTGATCTGCTTATTATTGCTCTCTTTTACTGTTTTTTTTTCCATGCAGTTTTTCTGTCCCTCAAGGACACTTATAATAAATTAGATGATACAGTATGTTATAGGGTGCAATCTATAACTCTAAAAGAATATTCTATTAAGTAAAAATAGGGCAAGGCCCAGTGTTTGTTCACTCCCCTTAAAAGTATAATACAACAAATAACATATTCATAGTGGTTTAATAATTATAAAAATACTTTGAAGAAATAATTCTGCTTTGGATTTCCTTGATTTAATTTCTTAGAGAGCCTTAACTCTGGCATGAATTCACTGAAAAGAATTTAAACTCAGTGAAAATTGATGCTGCATATATGTGTAGTTTCTGGGGTTTTGTCCCACTGTTGCTTATTCACCTTCATGAAGGCTTATCAGGCAGAAAGAATGGTTTTCATTTTTTGGTGGCACTGAAGTATGGAGGTGACAAGACAATCCTGGGACCACAGAGACAGAGCTGTGACTAACTGTAATTAGTATCTGAATTCTCAGGTCGAATCTCTAACCAACAGACTATACTGTCTGCCCTCATAACTTTCTATTAAATGCTTTCAAAAAGTGAATTTGATCTAGACTCTAAAAACTCTTTGCTTTTGGCTACAGATTAAAACTGAGAATATTCTCATCAAACTTGCTTTGGCCTTATGCTATATTGATACCACCTTGTGACTAGAGACACTAAAAGATAAAATGCTGGAATTGATTTTCTAGTCACCTTTAAACTTTATTCCAGTGCAATCTTTAGCCATCAATATTGCAAGAGGCCTTTAGTTACAAATTTCAATTACTAGGAAATGACTAGGACACTGGAAATTCATGTATGTCCTTTTGTACTTTTTATTTACATAGACGTGGTTAGCAAGAGATTGTCCTGCTCTCCGAATTATATCTGTGGAGTATGACACCAGCCTTAGTGACTGGAGAGCAAGGTGCCCAGTGGAAAGGTAACGGGAAACTGGGCTGGGAGGAAGGGCGAGGCTCCAGGCCGCAAGCAGACCCCCTGGGGTAGAAGGGACTTTTGTCTTTTGATGCCACAGACAGGATTTTTCTTAAGAAAACTAGCCCAACCTTCTTTCTTTTCTTCCTAAGTGGAGTTAAAATGTATTTTATAAGTGTTGCATAATTGTGCATATGCTATAAAAAGCTTGCAAGTAATATACTATCTACAATTTTTTTAAATGTCATATCCAAAGAAAAAAGTTACTTTGAAATTTCATTTGCTCTGTTTCTGATAAACATTTTCCTTGATAAATTTTTAAAACTCCCTCATGCATAGTGAAACCATTCTATCATATTTGTATTTAAATTGACTTGTGGAATATTCCCGTGTAGTTCTTTGGAGTTAATCTCATACAGTTGGTTTTGGTTGGGCCGCTGGCAGCTATGTCCCTGTTTTGACAGAGTGTGCCAGGCACACACTCTGGTGTCTTCACCTAAACTCCTCTTAGGGCTCCCCAGCAAGCCTGAGCTTACAAAGCTTGCCTTAAGGAAGTTCTGCTTTATGTCATGAAAACCTGCTAGGCACCGTCCACGAAGAGTGAGTGTAGATACCTCTCCAAGCAATAACGCATTTGTTCAGCTTCTTTTCTCCCTCTCTCCCCTCTTAGTGAGCCCATTAAAGCAGATGTCCTTTTCATTCATGGCCTTATGGGAGCAGCATTTAAGACATGGCGCCAGCAGGACAGCGAGCGGGTTTTGCCCGAAAAGATTTCAGAAGATGAGGCCAGGTATACAACATGCTGGCCCAAGGTAAGGAAGTAGCTTACTCTGTCTGGGAGGCCACCTTTCCCTGGCACTGCAGCAGCCCTAGGTGCCAACACCCTCATTGTGATCTGCTTATTATTGCTCTCTTTTACTGTTTTTTTTTCCATGCAGTTTTTCTGTCCCTCAAGGACACTTATAATAAATTAGATGATACAGTATGTTATAGGGTGCAATCTATAACTCTAAAAGAATATTCTATTAAGTAAAAATAGGGCAAGGCCCAGTGTTTGTTCACTCCCCTTAAAAGTATAATACAACAAATAACATATTCATAGTGGTTTAATAATTATAAAAATACTTTGAAGAAATAATTCTGCTTTGGATTTCCTTGATTTAATTTCTTAGAGAGCCTTAACTCTGGCATGAATTCACTGAAAAGAATTTAAACTCAGTGAAAATTGATGCTGCATATATGTGTAGTTTCTGGGGTTTTGTCCCACTGTTGCTTATTCACCTTCATGAAGGCTTATCAGGCAGAAAGAATGGTTTTCATTTTTTGGTGGCACTGAAGTATGGAGGTGACAAGACAATCCTGGGACCACAGAGACAGAGCTGTGACTAACTGTAATTAGTATCTGAATTCTCAGGTCGAATCTCTAACCAACAGACTATACTGTCTGCCCTCATAACTTTCTATTAAATGCTTTCAAAAAGTGAATTTGATCTAGACTCTAAAAACTCTTTGCTTTTGGCTACAGATTAAAACTGAGAATATTCTCATCAAACTTGCTTTGGCCTTATGCTATATTGATACCACCTTGTGACTAGAGACACTAAAAGATAAAATGCTGGAATTGATTTTCTAGTCACCTTTAAACTTTATTCCAGTGCAATCTTTAGCCATCAATATTGCAAGAGGCCTTTAGTTACAAATTTCAATTACTAGGAAATGACTAGGACACTGGAAATTCATGTATGTCCTTTTGTACTTTTTATTTACATAGACGTGGTTAGCAAGAGATTGTCCTGCTCTCCGAATTATATCTGTGGAGTATGACACCAGCCTTAGTGACTGGAGAGCAAGGTGCCCAGTGGAAAGGTAACGGGAAACTGGGCTGGGAGGAAGGGCGAGGCTCCAGGCCGCAAGCAGACCCCCTGGGGTAGAAGGGACTTTTGTCTTTTGATGCCACAGACAGGATTTTTCTTAAGAAAACTAGCCCAACCTTCTTTCTTTTCTTCCTAAGTGGAGTTAGCAACAAACAGTGAACTAGTACAAGGCCTAAGTATAGTGTTAACGTTGGGCTTCTAACATATTTCACTTCCAGCTGTTCTAATAGTTAACAATCATTTTCTTTGACAAAGTGTCCTTTACTCCTGGACGTAAGCATGAGGCTCTTTGCCTCTGTGTTCACAAGCATACTGGCTAAAGGAAGCAAAGGAGAAGATGCTGAGCAATGTAGGTTCCCTGTGCCACTTGTCTGTCATGTGTGTCAACTGTATATAGAGGAAGGACCTTGTCCTTAGCTGATTCTACCTTTGACTCGCTGTGCAATCATAGACTAGTCATTTAACTTACTGGGAAGTGTGGTCTGTAAATGGAGAGAGTTGGTCTGAGTCAGTGTTAGCCAGCTGAGTGTCATCATCTATGGCTGGCCCCCACGTAGTGCCAGAGGAGGGGTGTTGAGGGCTTTGGGGCAAGACCCCAAGACTCTCTCCCATTTCACCCAGAGGAGCTCTGACAAACCTTTACAGGCAAGCCTCGTTTTATTGTGTTCTGCTTTACTGTACTTTGCAGCTACTGCATTTTTTTTTTTTTTTACAGATTGTAGGCTTGTGGTAGCACTGTATGACAGAGTAAGTCTGTCAATGCCATTTTTCCAACAGCATTTGCTCACTTTGTGTTTCTGTGCCACATTTTGGTAACCCCACAATAAGGTTGACACCTGAACAATGCGGAGGGGAGGGCCACCAGCCCCCCATGCGTTTGAAAATCCACATGCAGCTTTTGACTCCACAAAACCTTAATTACTGAGAGACTGCTGTTTACCACAAGCAGACCTTACTGATAACTGTCGATTAACATATATTTTGTTCTTCTTATAATGAAGTAAGCTAGAGAAAATGTTTTTTCAACTTCTCACAAACCTCCAAAACTTTTCCAATATGTTTATTGAATAAAATCCACGTATGAGTGGACCACAGTTCAAACCCATGTTGTTTAAGGGTCAACTGTGTTTCAGACTTTTTCATTATTATTTGTAAAGTTGATCGGTGATCAGTGATTATGTGACTTGCTGAATGCTCAGATGATGGTTAGCATTTTTTAGCAATGAAGTAGTTTTCAATTAAGATATGTTACATTGTTTTTCAGATATAATGCTAATGCACACTTAATAGACTACAGTGTAGTGTAAACATGACTTTTATATACACTGGGAATCAGTGTATATAAAAATCAGAACTTATATAAAAAGTTCACTTGCTGTGCTTTACTGTGGCGGTTCGGAACCAACCCTGCAAGGGCACTGAGGCGTGCCTACATTTTGAAGAAAGGATTCTACAGATAAATAGTTTGAACTATCAGACTAGATAGTTTTGAAGTTCCCTTTTAGTTTTAAAAATACTTCTTTTGAATTCTCTGTTTCTAATAGCTTTCTGGTATTTCTAAATAAACCAAGATGATGAAAGCTTAATGTTTGCAGCATTAATACAAGTAGAATTAAGTAGCGGTGACAACTGATTTCACATAGGGGAACTCACAAGAGACATGGTTTCATTGTCAGTCCATGTAATGAGCAAGGACACATGTCCTGAGTGGTGGGGGCAGTTGGTGTGAGACCCAAGTGTGATCTGCAAAAATTGCCAGACATATACTAGATGCTCAAACACTGCTTATTTAGTAAATGAATGGCTCATTCAAGGCCTTGATATTCCCAATTATGCTAGCATGACTAAGTTAGCAATAGGGAACGAGCAGTTATAGACATCTAGCAGAGAGAATAAGGGTATATCTGACTCCAAAATGTAGTATGTAGCACTGGTCCAATAAACAAAAGTTCTTGCCTTAAGAAATTGGATAGCAAAATTTACAGGGAGTGGGGATCAATAGCCTCCTGTCATGCCTGCTGTTTTCATTTTATTCAGAAAGTCCATTGCATTCAGGAGCAACGAACTTCTGAGGAAGCTCAGAGCTGCTGGTGTTGGAGATAGGCCAATGGTTTGGGTATCACATAGCATGGGAGGTAAGTGTGTTTCATTTTTGTGAAGTGAGCATTGTTGAGAGTATTGTCAGCTAGCGGGGCTAACCTAAGTTACTGCAGGTCTGTTTTACTTAATAGCTCCCCACTAAATTAATGTTTTTGGTGATGACTAGGAGTTTTAAATTACTCTTCTCCCTCCATGCTACTTGTTTTTCTAGAAGGAGATAACCAGCAGCAAACTGTGTGTGTGATAACTTCATGCTTTCATGCAGTGATAACAAACAAGCAGCAGAAGCAGCTCGGGCTTGTATAAGCCTGATTTGCAGGTATCCTCAGCAGCCATGGCTGGTCTCCGCCTCCCTCTCTTCTGCATCAGCACCCACAGCCCAGCCTGCAGAGGCAGAGGCATGATCCCAGGTGTCCGTTTCTCAGGTCCCAGTGCTTGCTTGCAAGGACATCTGCTCCTCCCAGACCATGCCCCAGCTCCAGTTCTGAATTTTCACCACCCACCTTGCAGAGGGCCTTTCTGCAGCCTCTGGCCTAGGTTATCTGATGACACACTCAGGATTGCTGACTTGGAGTCGGGGCTTATTGCTGAAAGGTGGATGTCACCTTTTGTGGCCTCAGAGATCCGCGGTCACCATCTACATGAGCTTTGTGTGTGACTCTGAGCTCCAGGCCTCGACTGGGGGGTGGAAGAGGTGGTGCTTTTCCTAAGTGCACTTTCCCACAGGAGCTTTGTTTTCCGTCGGGGATAAGCTCTATGGGACTCCGTGTTTTTGGGTATTAGTACTGGCCTAATGCAGTGGTCAGTAGCGGGTCACTGTGGGCAGGATAGGAGACTAGCAGCCGAATAGTCACTGCATTGATGGACACCCAACATGGCACAGCCTCACATTTCTTCCATGTAACAGTGCGGCCTGGTACCAGACCTGCCTTACAAATGAGCTTCTAGAATCTTACCTGCTTGTAGGCTTGTCTGTATATTCTAGAGGATCAGCAGTATTATCAAGTGTTACTACTTTAAGGCCATGTGACTGCCATTGGACTGTAGATAATTATTGTTCAAATTTTTTTTAAAGAAAGCATCTTTTTCTTCTGTATATCTTGTTTTACTTTTTTTTTTTATAATGGAGGGAAGGAAGATAGCTATGCATTGTTTTTCTTTCTTCTCTGTGGCTAGGTCTGCTTGTCAAAAAGATACTGTTGGAAGCCTCTAAGAAGCCAGAAATGAATACTGTTATAAACAATACCAGAGGAATAGTGTTCTACAGTGTCCCTCATCATGGGTCCCGTCTGGCTGAATACTCTGTTAATATTCGCTATCTTCTCTTTCCCTCTTTGGAAGTCAAAGAACTCAGCAAGGGTAATACTTTTATGAACATTGGTTGCACAGGAGAAAGAGAAAAAGACCATTTAATATTATCTCATTCTATTATTTGTGCCTGAATTTATCATGGAAAATTTTTATTTTGGGCTTGATTTTTCCTTGGTGTCTTCCCTTTTTGTTCTTAAGCCACTATTTGCTCAATAACAATTCTAATACTGTCTTAAGTAGTATTCCAAATTACCAATAACTGCTTTTTCCATGAGTTTGGAAAATGAATGGTTAAAATGTAAATGATGTTTTAAGATTTTCAGGATATTAATTATAAATCACTGTATTTGTCTGATTACTAAGCATTTTCTGTTCTTCTGGAACACTTGTTAATCAGAGTTTGGAGCCCCTGGCTTAAACCTTAATATGCCAGTTGTCCTTTTGCTCAGATTTTCTCTTTTTTCTGCTTTATAGACAGTTACTTGACTTTATTTTTTTGCAAATTTTATTTTCCACAAGCTCTTTCTTCTCTGATCCATTATCTCTGAAATCACTCTAAAGATACTAATCGGAGGTGTCTCTTCAAGTTGCTTTCTGTTCCTTCACTGCGCTCTTTCTGCTGTGCTCGGGTGTTGTTTGCTCGCGGGGTCTGTCTCTTGCAGTCCTTAGGCCTCCCGTTGCCATCTGGTGCTCTTTGGTTGCCCTTCCTCTTGGAAGCTGGGGAACAGGATGGGCTGGGAGCCCTGTGCTTACAGACAGGCTTCTTGAAGGGAGAGTAAGTGTGGGAGTGGGTGCTAGCACACTGGGGGACTCCTGAGTCCCACACACTGCCCTGCCCTAGCTAGTGGGGGGAAGCGCTCCCTCTGACAGATGCCTGTCCGCTCTGGGTTGGTTCCAGCTTTGGTGGTTTCTTTACTCTCGTCTTCATGGCTCCTTAGGGAGGAGAGAAGCCACTGTCTTGAATCAGAACCCTAATGTCCTCTCTAAGTTTGGAAGGTTTAATGTATTTTATTATGAATTGGGTATGCAAAACTTGTCACAATGGTGTTTCCTAAAATTTTGCAGATTCCCCTGCACTTAAAACACTACAGGATGACTTTCTGGAGTTTGCTAAAGACAAAAACTTCCAGGTGCTGAATTTTGTAGAGACACTACCAACACACATCGGTAGCATGATTAAACTCCACGTGGTGCCTGTGGAATCAGCAGGTATTCATTTACTCTTCTGAAACTTGTTGGCAATTCAATGAGATGTCTAATTGGTGGTACCTAGCATTTACTTGTAAACATTTTTTTATATCCAGTTTCTTAGTTTTATGAAGAACTAGATTCTATTACTCTTTTCAGCCATAGATTAGAATTCTCTGCCAACATATAACCTTGCCATTATCCCTCTCCTTTTTTAACTGACTAGATGACAGAGATTAGTTTGAACTTTTAAAGGTTAACAGTGAACACTCTTGCATTAAGGGAAGAATACAAAGCCCTCTGTCAGCTGGGCTGAAAGGGGCATTTCGTTTAACAGATGGATAACTGCACATAGAAACCTTAAAAATATCAACTAGAGGTATGGACACTTTAATAAATGGGAGATATATGGGGAATATTCAAGCAACCAAGATGCCAATCAGAAAAACTAGCGTTAAAGTAGTCCCTTCATGATCCTGGGGTAGAGAAATGACCACTACCTGTTACCATGGTAACATAGTACACCATAGGTATTATAAGGCATTATGGGCTTTCTGAGCATAGGGCCCAAATACTGCTTCTGTGTCTAGCCTCCTGTTACTCTGTGCACAGCAGAAAACCCACACGCTCCACTCCCTGAAATGCCCTCTCCCGCCTGGCTATTGCCTCAGCTTGCTCTTCGGAGCACCGCTGAGGCTGGGTTCTGCGATGTCCCTGGTGGCACCTGACCACACTGAGAGCTCCTTGCAGCTGGAGACGGTGTGTATCTGGAGAGCGTCCCAGAAGGTTCTTGTCTGCACAACAAATTGTGTCCTAATTTCATTATATATTATCTAAATGAAATGAAAAAGATGTAATACTCTTTAGTGGAAACTACAGAGGCTTTATCTCAAAGAAATCTGCTGTAGAGGAGGAGTTCCTGCTGAGTAGGTGAACCTGAAGAGTTCAAACAACAGCTGCTAGACGTTCTGTTGTGTTTTTTAAAAGGGAGACTTTGGAAGCTAAACTAAAGTTCCTTTTGGGGACCAGCTGCTTAGAGGGACATAGCCTGATCATAATTCTGTCTGCCCCTCTCATGTCACCAGGAGTCTTGCCCTTCTTCATAACTACCACCTGCATTCCTCAGCTAGTCAGCTCACTAGTCCCTCCTGTCACTTCTGTCTGGGTGGACTTTGTTAGGCTGAAACCTCAGCTCAAGCACTAAACATCTACCCTAGTGGGGGTGACCCTGGGATTCAGATGTAGTGTGGGTCCCATGTGACACACTCCCATTCTTTTCATCTGGAAAAGGGAGCTCATAATGAAGTAAAATATAAACCCTAGAAAAAGAAGCAGTTAGAGGAAGTGTGGAATAATTTAGTAACAGCCTGCAAGAGTATAATGAAGGTCTTGAGATGACAGTGCTCATGCTCTGCTACTCCTAAACTAGGAAGTGGGCCAGGACACTTACAAAGAGTTTACGATAAGCATAAAATTGTACCTACTGAGAATCCACTCCCACATGATTAGTTATGTGAGTTATGTTACATAATGTAGTTTAGCTATGGTCAGACTGCACATTCCTTTGAGTCCCTTATCACAACCAAACCATTTACAACTACCCAACTATACTGACATTTTTGTTTTCTTCAGATTTAGGCATTGGGGATCTAATTCCTGTGGAGGTTAACCATCTGAACATTTGTAAACCAAAGAAAAAGGATGCTTTTTTGTACCAACGTACCTTACAATTCATCCGTGAAACTTTAGCCAAAGACCTTGAAAACTGACTGTTGTCTTCCGTTTTTCGTATGTGAACACAGCATGGGAACCTTGGTGTTTGCTGTCTCCCTGTGCGTGCTAAGCAATCATGCAAACATAGTCACTGTGGCATCTTGGGTATATTGCAGGCAATAGAATATTTTGTCAATTCATGCTGTAAAGTACAAACACAGAGGTGGCATCAGAGAATGAAGGGCTAGACTGGAGTCTGGATTTAAAGGAAATGCCATGTGTGCCAGTTTACATTTTGCCGTGTTGTCTCTGGTGATGGGGAGCAAGCTTCTCTAGATGGAGACTGCTGTATGTCACCTGTGGCTGTACCCAGCTGGTGCTAGGAGGGGCACTAATGGCTTCTGCAAGGAGAGCTGTCATCAACGTACCATAAAAATGCCATTTGGGGAGCACCTCGGATGGAGAGCATGAACTAGTATAAAAGGCTCTGCTTTCATTCTGGGTTTCATGTGCTGTAAGATTTTAAAAACATGTCAGTTGAAATATTTGTCTAATATGCTAATATTGCAAGACCTGTTGACATCCATGGGCCAGTTCTTCTAAATTTTTATTTTCATATTGCTGAGAACAAATATTTCTCTTTTTAAAAAAATTCTAGGCTATGGTAATTCTTTCCAGATTGTAGCTGCCTATCCTTGTAATTTTTTCCAGCTAAGAATAAAGTAGCTAGTCCATTATTGATCAGAGTGTGAAGTAAAACTATTCTAAGTCATTATGTCTATTAGCACTACTTAATATCAAGATTCTCAGATTCTCTTTAGCTAAGTATACCTTTTTTTCTTGCTCATTTGGAAATGGTATTAATTGACCTCCAGAATGTGATAAATCAGGAAATCATGTTGATGATGAGTCTTTAAAAAAATAATAGCATTATTGAGATCTAATTCCCATATCATAAAATTAACCCTTTTAAATATACAGCTCATTGATTTGTAATATATTTACAAAGTGGTGCAACCATCACCACTATCTGATTTCCAAACATTTCATCATCCTAATAACCCCATACCCATTAGCGGTCACTCCTCACCCACCTCAACTCCCAGCCCCTGGCAAATACTAATTTCTGTCTCTCTGGATTTGACTATTATAGACATTTCATATAAATGGGATCATACGTGTGGCCTTCTGTGTCTGGCTTCTTTCTCTTAATGTAATATTTTCAAGGTTCATTCATCATGTAGCATGTATCAATGCTTCCCTCCTTTTCGTGGCCAAATAATATTCCATTGTATGGATGAACCATGTTTGTTTATAAATCTATCAGTTGATAGGATATTTAGGTTCTTTCCATTTTTTTGGCTGTTCTGAATCATGCAGCTCAACACATTCATGTACAAGTTTTTGTGTACATATGCATGTATTTTCCATTCTCCTGGGTACACACTAGGAGTGGAACTGCTGGGTCATGTTAAGCTTATGTTCACTATTTTGAAGGTGGTAAACGTGAAGGATGGGATAGTCAAAGCTAAAACCGGAATACGGCATCTGAAGGTAAACAGGGATCACCAATTAACCCTGTTCACATCTCATTGTTAAATTATGCAACAACCTAACATAGGACTTAACCACTTGTTTTATGTAGATACAGTGAATGTGATGGTTAGCCAACAACAGTAAATTAGCTAACAATAAAAGCCAGCTAATGGGGTGACATAGGGAGAAGGAGTAGATATGTTTGATTCACTTTCTTTTTGTTATTATTATGAACCATAGCAAATAAACCATGGTTGAAACAACTGTTCATTAACTTAGAGTAATGGAATGAAATTCCATTCCTTAAAATCTCAATATAGGCATTGTAGCTGTGCTTTAAAAATAAGGTCTGGGAGGACTCTCTTGTCCCCTCCTAGCATGAGTCGGGAGCTCTGTCCTTTCACGGTATCTCTAAATAAAAGCCTGTACCTTGCTCTCCTAAAAAAAAAAAAAATAATAAGGTCTGGGAGAGAGATCCAATGTATTATTAAATTACTGTCATTTTTCAGGCAAATCACTTAACATTTCTTTTTATTCTATGAAATGAATATGATGTACACAGATCCACATCATCTGTGGATGTTTTGTGAAATTTAAGTCAATAATGTTTTTAAAATCATCACCACCTGAAAAACAGTTTAAGAACACAAACTATGAAAAGATATGTATTTGAAATAGTTTTAAATTTAGACAATCAATAAAATGGTTCTCCTAGTTCAATCAGCCTTGTTTAAATATCCTTTCTGGAAAAAAAATTCAAATGAAGCTCCATAGTTACCTTTCCCCTACTCTGAAAAGTCACTTTTTTTAATGATCTTGTTTGAGAGGGAAGTAAACAGAATATACATGTTTCAGAGCAAAGCACCGAAAGCAAGCTATAAATAAGACCAGGATGAAAATGGAAAATCAGCTACCCTGATTTATAACCTGTTCACTTCTTTATTATTACATTTCCCCAAAACCTGCTCAATCACAACCCTAAAATTCAAGGGCACTGACTCCCCTTTACCCCAGTGTTTAAACTAATTGCCACCAGAGAGACACACTACAAAACGGGGGGATTATGATACCTTTCTTGACAATATTTCATTAACTCAAGGTTATACCAGCAGCCAGAATATGGCGGAGGATGCCGGCCTCTGCCCAATGAGAGTGCCTGAGGGTAGTGGGCACTAGCATTTATTTCCTATTGAGAAAAACATAGTAATATGGTAATGTGCATTTCTCTTTTGAACTTAGTTCATAATTTATAATGCCCCTCAAATTATTTCTAATTTCTGAAATTTGAGTTTTAGGCATATCCTCCTGAAGTTTCATCCCTTTCTGATATTAAATACATTGTATGATTTGGTTTTTATTGACATTGGGTATAAAAATTCTACCCATGAAAAAAAAAGTTCAATAAATGTTAAAGGACTTGATATAACTTATTATGCCCTTATACTGGTTGGTGAACACTCCCAAAAGCTAATTCAAAATTTGCTTTATTAAATGTGGCATTTTATTATAAACTACTTTAATAAAGCAGAAGACATAAGACAGTGTGATAAGAATTTCCAAATTAAGAACAAACCATTCTTATAAAAATTCCAGTTCTTAATCTTCTTTCAGCTTGGCCCTGGAGTTTAGGAACAGTGTCATGGAGTTCAACATTTGGTCCAAGAGTTTGGAAACACTAATCTTATAAGGACCTTTGATTTTTAGTTTAATTAAAACTTTATTTCAGGATTGTTAAGGCTAATTTGTAATGAAAACCAAATATGCAAATTCCTAGGACCATTAGTATCTAGATGTGAATGTAATCTCCAAGCACAAAAAGGTTTTGTCATATATACATCTATGATTTAGATGTTGGAATATCTTGGCATGTGGGATTATTAGATTAGAACATTTTAAAGAGTCCTAGTCTGAGATGGTGACATAGGAGCTCTTGACCTCACCTGTTCCCATGGATACTGAACCTATAGATACACATGGAACAACTTCGGAAAGAAATTGAGAGAATAGCTAAGCAACTCCTACACGCTGGGTAAATGAGAAAATGCCCACATCAAAACAGGGAAGGCTGGGACACACTCTGGCCATAAACCCCACCCCGAGCACAGTGAGATGCAACTGGGAGGGAACACAAAACTCCTTGAGGAACAAAGGGTTTGGATTCAATATCTAGCACCCCAACTTTTAAGACTCCCACTGGAAGGATGGGCCCCCACAGCTCAGAAAGCCAACAGGGCTTGTATCCATGAGGTCCACAAGACTAAAGCAAAGAAAAATAGCTCTTAATGTGCTCATGAGGACTCAATGTGGCTATCTCCTCCAGGGCTCGGAGCAGTGGCAGCAGACAGAAATACTCATCTCTCAGTCTTTATTTCCCTGATGGGGGCCTATTTGTACATTTTAAAGGCTGCAACCTAAGGGTCAGGCATCTAATTTAGCATCTATCTAGAAGTTGACTGTGATCCTCCCTTGAGCGGCCAGAGGGTGCTATCTCCGCATTCTCCCTCTGGCCCACTCCAGGTTGCTGGTGTCTTCCTGGAAGGAGTTTGTACACATGTCATGCCCTGACTTTGTATGGGTGCTGCCCAGGGAACAAACTCCTTGGCTGCCTGGCTCTAGTGGCCAATGGGGTTTGTGTTTGTGGTCCTCGAGGACTGTAGGAGATAAACAATTCTCAACCTGCTATCCACCTGGGTCTCAGTGCAGAAGGAAAAGGCAGAAATGCCTATCTCCTCGTCTTTCCTTAGGGGATTCAATATCTAGCACCGCAACTCCTCGTCTTTCCTTGAAAGAAGTCTGTTTGCATACTTAGAAGCTGCTGCCTAAGAGTCCAGCTTGCTATCAGGCTGCATCTAGGTGCTGACTGAGATCCTCCCCTTTGGAATACTGATAGGTCTTAACAGAGCCTTAACTACTGGGAGAAAATAAGTACAAAGAAGACACCATGGACAATCCCAAAGGCCAATCACATCATGGACAATCACAAAAACCAAGAGCTCAGCAGGCTGAATGACAAGGTCTATTTCCTATACAAGAACACTTTGTCAGGACTGGGAGAAGTGGCTGTTTTATGCACAGAAAGTATACAGAGAACAAAGTAACAGAGGAATATGTTCCAAACAAAGCACAAGATAAAACTCCAGAAAGAGACCTTAATGAAGCAGAGATAAATGAATCATGTGACAAAGACTTCAAAATAATGAAGATGATCACCAAGGTCAGGAGAGTAATGCATGCCTGAACAAAGTGAGAATTTCAACAGACAGAAAATATAAGAAAATACTAAACAGAAATCACAGAGCTGAAGAATACAGCAACTGTTCAATCAAGGGGCTCAATGGCAGACTAAATCATGTGGAAGAAAGGATCAGCAAGCTCAAAGAGCAGTAGAATTCAATCAGAAGAGCAACAAGAAAAAAGAAATGAAGGTAGCTTAAGAGACTTCGGAGATACCATCAAGCCAACTAATATTTGCATTGTTGGGGCCCCAGAAGGAAAATAGAGAGAGAAATGGGCAGAAAGCTTATTCAAAGAATAGCTGAAATCTTCCCTAGCCAGGAAATCCAGAGAATTACAAATATAACTCCAAAAAGACCCACACCAAGATCCATTATAATTAAACTGCCAAAAGTTAAAGATAAGGAGAGAATCTTAAAAGCAAGAAGAAAAATAACATGTTACATACAAGATACCCCATAAGACAGTTTGCATATTTTTCAACAGAAATTTTGCAGGCCAGAAGGGGGTGGGCACAATATATTAAAAGTGCTGAAAGAAAAAATTAACTACCCAGAATACTCTACCCAGCAAAGTTGTTCTTCAGAATTGAAGAGATAATGAGTTTTCTAGACAAGCAAAACCTGAAGGAGTTCATCATCACTACACTAGCCTTAGAAGAAATATTAAAGGAACTTTTTCAACCTGCAATAAAAGGATGTTAATTAGTAACAGGAAAACATGAAAGTATAAATCTCACCGACAAAGGTAAATATATAGTTAAATTCAGAATATGCTAATGTAATGGTAGTGGGTAAGTCACTAATAAATCCAGTATAAAGGTTAAAAGACAAATAGTAAAAGTAATTAAAATAATAATTTGTTAATGGATATACAAAGTAAAAGGATGTAAATTGTGACATCAAAAAACATAAAATATGGGGAGTAAAAATATAGAGCTTTTGAACTTATCAGTTTAACATAAACTGTTAGAAATATGTTTTAGGTAAGCCTCATGGTAACCTCAAAGCAAAAATCTATAAACACATGAAAGAGAAAGAGAAAGGAATCTAAGCATCACCACTACAGAAAATCATGAAATCACTAACAAAGAGAGCAAGAGAAGAAGAAAGGAATTACAAAACAGAAAACAATTAAAATGGCAATAGTAAGTCCATATATATCAATATTTACTTTAAATGTTAATAAGCTAAATTCCACAGTCAAAAGACATACAGTGGCTGAATGGATGAAAGAGAGGAGGAGAGGGAGAGGGAGAGGGAGAGAGGAAACAACTTATTATGCCCTTAAGATACTTCTGCTTTAAGAACATATACAGACTTAAAATGAAAGATGGGAAAAGATAGTCCAAGCTGATGGAAACCAAAAAAAAAAGCAGGGGTAGTTATACTTATGTCAGCCAAAATAGACTTTAAGCCAAAGACTACTGTAAGAAACCCAAGAACGTCATTATATAGTGATAAATGGGGTCAATCAATCCAACAGAAGGACACATTTGTAAATAGTTATGCACCCAACATAGTAGCATCTAATATATAAAACAAAAATTAACAAATCTTAAGGGTGATAGTAGTGGACTTCAAAACCTTACTTTCAACAATGGATAGGTCATCCAGACAATATTAATAAGGAAGCATTGTACTTACATGACACATTAGACTAGATGAACTTAATGGATATTTACAGAACATTCTATCCAACAGCAGCAGAACATACATTCTCAAGTGTACATGGAACATTCTCCAGCATAAATCATAAGTTAGGCCATAAGAAAGTTTTAATACATTTAAGAAGATTAAATTAATACAAAGCATCTTTTCTGACCACAATGATAAACAACTAGAAATCAATACAAGAAAAACCTGGAAAATTCATGAATATACGGAGATTAAACAACAAGACTGAATAACCAATGGATCAAAGAAGAAATCAAAAGAGAATTTAAAAAATATCTTGAGACAAGTGAAAATGGAAATAACAACATACCAAAACTTATGGGTTATAGGGAAGTGAATAGTGATAAATGCCTACACTAAGAAAAAAGTCTCAAATAAATATCCTACTATCATAGCTCAAGGAATTAGAAAAAGACACATTAAAGCCCAAAGTTAGTAGAAGCAAGGAAATTTAAAAAGTCAGAGTAGAAAATCAATTAAAGAGAGACTAAAAAGACAAGAGAAAAGATCAATGAAACTAAGACCTGGATTTTGAAAAGAAAAAATATATAAGCCTTTAGCTACTCTTACCAAGATAAACAAAAGAGGATTCACATAAATAAAATCAGAAGTGAAAGAGAAGACATTACAACTAATAAAACAGGAATAATAAGTCCAGGACCAGATCATTTCAATGGTGAATTCTACCAAGCATTTAGAGAAGAAGTAATACTGATCCTTCTCAAACCCTTCCAAAAAGTAGACAGGAGAGAATACTTCCAAAATCATTTTATGCAGCCAGTATTATCCTGAAACAAAGAAGAGCAAGGCTTTGTTTTTTTGAAGCTCTCATGGGAATAAGATACAATCACTCTAAGTGAAGTAAACCCTAGCATGGGCCATTTAACAAAAGTTCAAAAAGGGAGGAGAGGCCAGATCTTCTAACAAAGTAGTATAAGGCTTGCCCCACCTATGCTGTAGAGGCAACTCGTGCCCCCTCCTGCCTTCAGATTAAAAAAAGAAAATGAGTACTCATGCCAAGAAAATGAGTACTGGACTTATTATTTGTGTTTTATTAGTTGTAGTGTCTTCTCTTTCGTTTCTAATTTTATTTATGTGGACAAGAAGCTGCCTCAAATAATGGGGATGGGAGTCAGGAAAGTTCACCCTCCACTGATCAGGGCAAACGTGTCTGAAGTTTATTATACTCAAGCAAGATGAAAAGAAATTGCATGACACTTAACATAATAAAGCAAAATGAAAGAAGTATATAATGATGGCTGAGGTCTCAATTCTAAAACAAAATACAATCCCTAAACAACAGCAGCAAAAGTGGTGAACAGGGTAAAAGGTAGAGATAGGGAAATAAATTGAAAACCAAACAGCACAATGACAGAATAAAGTAGGAACCACATTAAAGAATGGAGACATAGATTAAACTATCCTCTTAACAGAGGGATGGCTTGGTGGATGCAGAACCACAGAGGATGCAGAGGGAAAATATTTTAAAATGAAGATAATAGAAAAAAAAACACACCACAGAAAAAGAAAATTATAGGCCACTATCCCTGATGAACCTAGATGCAAAAATGCTCAACAAAGTATTAGCCACTGGAATTCAACAGTACATTAAAAGGATCATACCCCATCATCAAGTGGGATTTATTCCAGAGATTCAAGGACGGTTCAACACCCACAAATCAATTAATGCGATATACCATTAAAAAAATGGAGAAAAAATCACATGATCATCTCATTAATGGATATGTTAAAGGATATACTTCAGGTAAAAGGTAAATAAGTGATCCAGCCAGAGATGCTGATATTCAAGAAAAAATGCCCAGTGAAAAAAGAGGCAACCAGGATGAACTAAGTAAAAATTGATTGTATAAAACAATAATGTCTTGAGTGTTAAAATATTTGAAATTAAAATACACAGCAATTATAGTTGGTATGGAGCTAATGCATCTCAATGTCATTGCATTATTCAAGAGGAAGGGAAAGTAATGATTAACATTAGACTTTGAGAACTTGATGACACATGTAATTTTTAAAATAACTGATAAAAATGTGACCTATTTCGGTCACATTCTAAGTTAGGAAAGAGAGGAATGATAAAAATCCATAAGAAGGCATGAAAGGAGGGGAAAGACACAAAGAATAACACAAAGAGAAAGCACAAGATAATATGGTAAATTTAAACCCCAATAAAGCAATTATTACATTAATGTAAATGGACTAAGTACATAACATAAATATGTCTGTCAGGCTAGATAAGAAAACAACACTTAATTATATGCTATTTGTAAGAGACCCATCTGAAGCGTGAGGGCACAGAGAGGTTCAAAGTAAAAAAGATAGAAAATGACAAGTCATGCAAATACCAAAAGCAAGCTAGTGTAGCTATATCAGATAAAACATATTTTAGGGTAAGAAGAATTATTAGAGATAAAGGGGTCACCTACTAATGATAAAAGATTAAATTCATCAAGAAAATAGTAAATTTTAATTGTATATGAATGTGAATATATGGCTTAAAACTATATAATGCAAAAATTGAGAATGTTACAAGAAGAAATAGACACCATAGGAGATTTTAATGTATCTTTCTTGGTATTGACTGGACAGCAGACCAAGAATAAGGATGCAAATCAAAGAGAAGTTGAAGTTAATGGAAAATGTTTTAAAAACTGACAAAATAAAAATTCCAGTTATTTGAAAATGTCAATAAAATTGAATAATCCCTTGAAAAACCTAATAAAGGAAGCAAGAGAAATGGTTTCTTACTTAATAAATGGTATAACTATCCCTCAGGAAGATGGTATCGGAACCCCTGCCTCACACCATTTACTTCATTGAGATACAAGTTATCATATGGGTACAGTTTGCCTTGTATGAGTTTCAAACCTCATTGCCATAACCTAAGAAAAGGAAGTTATTGAAACTAGCCATTCCCTTCCTCCCCATCGACGTCACAGGGCTGTGCATGCATATTAAATGAATTTAATTTAGTACTTGCTGGTCAGGAAGAACTAACCATCTTTATTATTATCATCAGGGAACACTTATGACCTATACTTTGTGAATTCATTAGCTAAAAACAAAACTAGACAGAACTTGGAGAAGGTTTACACCCTTCTCCTGACGCTATGCAGTAATATGCTCAAACCAATTGAGCAGTAAGATTTTATGTTTCCTATGACATCCCACAGAAAATGAATTTAAGCATCTCTCAAGTCTTACAGATATTCTAGCAGAAACTTATTATATATGGTATCACCGTGGTCCCTGCTGGTAGCATTCAAGTCATAAATTGTTAACCAAATTATTACTTTTATGCCTTTTTAGTTTAGTTGGTTGGTTGAAGAAGAACCAAAACAAAAATTCAGAGGAGTAACTAGTAATCACATTTCAGCTGGAATAGAAGGTGAGCCAAAGAAGATATTTCAAGGTTCTCTTCGTAACTGAAAAAATAAGCCAAATTTTAAAAAAGACAAAACATTTAATAGGCATTTTTAAAACAATTTCAGTACAAATTACCACTTCAAATAAACATTACAGGGATTTTACTAATTGCTAGTCACCCAATAAATAATTTTTGCAGTTTTCCTTCCTGATGAAATTATTTCATTATGAAGCAGATTTTTAGCATATTACTTTGTTTGATACACATGTCAGGAGGATTTTAAGTGTCATGACTTTCAGCATCTTAAAAGTTTTCTTCTTTCACTGGAACAAATCTTTAAAATGGGCAAGAAGTTGGAGAAGATTCTGTCGTAGAAGGGAGTATAATCGGGCCATAGAGACAGTGTTGATTGTAAAGTACTGTGCCTAAGACATCCTGCAGTGAACTGTAACATCTTACAGACCAGGGATGAAAAAAGACTACAAGGTCACAATAAAAAGGCCTGTGTGGGAGCATCAAAGGAAGACTAAAAATTAAAAAAAACCCACAGAATGAAATCCCCAGGAGGGCAGCTGCTGTCAAGATTATTCAACTCTGCTGCTAACCTAGGAAACCTACCATTAAGCATTGATTTGAAAATAAATCAGGTGATTCCAATTGTCCCTTTTTTGAGAATGTTGATGTGAGACCCTTGCATGTTATCAACCCAAAAAATCCACACTATCTTGTTCATTAAACTCGAACATTCATGATCAAATAGTATTTGTTCAGTTCTTCACGTTAAACTACTCGTACGTTTTCTTGTGACCTGCCTCCCAAAATCAACACAGTTCTGCTCGCTAATACTTACAATCTGATTCTTAAGAGCTCCTTGTGTGATGAGCACCAAGCTTAACTGAAATTCTGCTCTGTCTCCTGTTTATGAGCTACTTGCTATCTGGAACAAAGATGACCCTGAAAATCAGGCGTGTTCCCAGCACTGGAAACACCTGCAATGGTACTTCCATTCCCCTTGCCTTTCTGGCTGGTCATTATGCGTATCTGCTTTCAAATTCACCTTTGTGGTGGGAAGAGAGGTTATAGAGAATACGGCATTTGGATTAGGAAATATTCGATCCCATTCCCAACTGTATCCTATTAGTAGCTAAGTGAATCCTCACAAATCATTTGACTTCTCCAAGCCTATCACCCATCTTGCTATACTTTCAAGGATTGTGTGTTTACTTGCATTTGTCAGGTAAAAATGACTTACAACACTTACACAATACAGCCGGTGTTCTAAACAGTTAAGGCCAGAAACACCGTCTTTTATGGCTGGTCAACTACCTGTACCATATGTTGATAGTGCTGGGTCACTAATACCTTTTTATGAGTTCTCAGATGAAATAATTGTAGTTTTATTTGAGTGCCAGACTTAAATGATCTGCAGTGTATCTTGATAGAGGCAATGAGAAATAATTCTGGAATCAGAGGTGTCACTGGTAAAAAGAGCAAGGTATCCCACAGGCAAGATGATTACTGCCATCCAACCATTAGCAACTCGTACAGGAAGTCAGTCGCCAGTCACATTAGGGATAACACAGAATCACTGCTGTAGGACTCTATGACATGAACATGAAAGACTCCTAAACATGGTAGGTGGCACCCTAAGATTTCAACAGTGTGCTTATTAGCAAAAATATGCTATCTGCTCCAACTGGATTCTAGGCCTTATAATATTTTTAAAATGTAAAACTATGTATTGCTGATCCCTTTTTAAGTGTTTGAATAGGCAAGAAGTGGTGTTGGGAAATGTATAGGAAAAATGTGGAGGCAAGAAATAAACCAAAATAAACACAGATAAACCAGAAATGCTGCCCTGGGCTTTCTTATATATAGAGTCATGCGGTATTTTCCTTCCTAAAGTTGCAGCTGGGCAGAGAGGCTGAAACAAACATTCTTCACGTTATAACAATGCAAATCAATATATTATGTGCCAGTATGACTTTTCACATTTTATGCTTTTACCAGGTGTGGGTGTAAGGGGAAAAAAATTCATTGAGGAGTCCTTTACTCTTTAATAGGGAATAGAGAGTGTCTAAAAACTGGTTTAAATAACACACTAGTGTTCAGGACAGTCGCAATTTATGGGGCAAGTCCACCAGACATAGTTCAGGAGTCTTTAGCCAGTTTAAGCTCAGGTTAAGCTCATGGTATATGCTTCAGAACCAAAACAGTGTATACGACACTGTATCCCACCTGATCAAGGCTAATACAAATGAACACAAATAAACACAAGAGCTCACAGGAAGGTACAGGCTATCATTTGGTTGACTTATTTGCTGCTCCCAGCTCCCATTAAAAAAAAAATCAGGTGTCAGTGGGCCAGGTATAGGTCTTAAGGGTCCCAACCACCCTTTAATGTGATCCTTTCTTTATGTGTCCACCTTCAGGTGGTTCACCAAAAAGTTATTCCAAATCTGTAAAATGCAAACAAAAATTTTAAAACACCGCATACACACATAATTGAAGAACCACTTAAAACTCAGTGGGAGAGAATTCCTTGGGCATTATCATCTGTATTCCCTTTCCTATAATCCATAAACTGAATCTAACAAGGGGTTTCCCATACCCCTGAGAGGAAACTTAAAATCCACAAGTCTGGAATAAAACATGTCTTGGTGGCTGAATAATACTCTTATTGAAAAAAGAGACACTTTTTTTGTAAACTACACAGGAGTGAGGGAAGTACCAATGGTTTTCAGTGCGCCTTTAAATAGATGTCTCTTTCCACTGGGGTTCTAAGGCCGCATAGGGGCTTCTCCCTGTACAGTGAGGCCAGGAGAGGGATGCACACCTTCTGTGAGAATGGCCGTCCAAGCTCCCCCCTCATGTTTTTGCCAGTGGGTCAAACACCTGCAGCACCGTCCTCTTGTCCTGGTCACTGATGGTCACCCAGCGACCAAGGTCTTTTTGCCTGTGCTCTGGCAGTGGCTGCTGGGCATCTGAGGCCCTGACTTGCACTGGGGCCACGTGGGTCCTCGCGGGGCTCCCGGTCCCTGAGCCCAAGGGGTCAGAGCTCTTGGAAAGCCAGGCATTGTTCAACAGGTTGGGTTGGTGCAGAAGGCTCCAGAATGGATCCTGATATTCGCCAGGGAGGGAGGCCCCCTCTGCCTTTGTCTCCTCTGTGCCATCAGCTTCCGGGCTCGTGGCGAGTGATGTGCCAAGAAACGCAGGTTGCGGAAAGAGGGTGCCCCCATCGGGCTGGCGTGCCGGGGGCCAGTCGCTGCTGCCGCGGCCACTGCAAACCAGGCCCTGGAGAAGCTGGCTGTCGCTTTGCAGAACCTGCAGGTGGAAGGCCGCTGGGGCTGACTTCTTCCTCCTCGGGGGAGCCTGGGGGACCACAGGCCGCACCCCCGGAGGGGGCGGTGTGGAGGCTCCGGCCTCGGGAGGGGTGTCGCCTGGTGCTGGCTTTCCACCACTCAGCCTCCTCTCCGCCGTCTTCCCAGGCTGAAGTGTTCTTGGTTTGGGAACTGGGGGAACTGTCTCTGGAAGAGGGGTTTCAAGGCTTGTCTCCGGGGGTCCGACTGTAAAATGGACCGTCTGCTGCCCAAACGGTTCTTCCGGTGATTCGGGCTGAGAAAAGGCACAGCAAAGAGTAAATAAGAAGCCGGCCGGGGCAGCTGGGACTCAGGAGCACTCAGACAGTGGCAGCCGGGGGCTAGTGCCGCGACATTCTGGCAAAGTTGGGATTTGCAAATGTCCAAGGTGCAGAAATGCGACGAGGTGCGAAAGAGCACAGGAGAAACACACATTTATCAGGCGTACCAGCGGGTCCAAGGAAATATGCATGAAAGCTGTAAAACCAGGGCCACATGAATAACTTGAAACAAGTTTTCTCCTGTTCCCTTAGGCAATGAGGCTATGCTCTTCCTTTATTAAGAGCAGATCTCTCTTAATTTGACACCTATCTTTTTCTGAGGCTGCGCTTCAACTAGGCTGAAGTAATGCATGTTACAGCATTAAGCTAATTGAAGGACTAACAGATATACTTGCTCCTTGAATCTCTGATATCGAATGGAAGACCTCTTATGTCACTTCCTTGGTTCTGATTCAAAATTCTCACCAAGAAGCAAACACAAAGCGCAAAAGCAGGCTACCAGCTGTGTAAGCATCAGCATCTCAGTATTTCCTTTGGCTCTTTGGAAAATGAACTGAAAAACAATCCCTCCTCCAGCAGCCTTTCACTGTAGCTCCTATGCAGCATGCTGGGAAAATGGATCCATTTCTGCCCTGGCTTTTACAAGAAGAGACAAGGTGAGTACAGGGAAAAAGAGGAAGACAGAAGTCTGTTCTGCAAGGTGGAATGGGAAACGCACAGATGCAACAAGCAGAAATGGGACACGCCAACCCGGGAAGCACAAAGCAAGCTCTTCCAGAACAAAGCACCCAGCCAAGGCTCACACTCTGTACAGGCGGAAAGGCACCGGCCATTCTGCAATGACTGGTCATGGGATTACCGGGCGTCCCGTTACTAGAACACTGAGATCAAACGGAGGATCCAGATGTCTCTATAGGCGCCAGTCTTTGAGCTGCTACTGTCCTGACAAACTCATGTCTTTGAAGCAGCAAGCAAGGCTGAGAGGCTCGAGGGCGAGAGCAAAAAACAATCTGCAAGAAAAGTGGCAGAAAAGCGGTGCAAGCTCCAGTCTGAGGCCACATGAGAACTCGTCCACATCGCTCATCTAGGAACTGGCTGTAGTTGTCCGAATGCAAGTAAGATCTGTCCTCGTGAAACCGTGTGCACAGGACCCAGACCACACACAAAATGGAAATAATGGAACTCTTGGAGAAAAGTACCCACCAGGGGTTCCATCCAGGGACTCAAAGAGAACATTTAGGAAGTGTGATGCCTCCAAACTGTGCCTGTCACAGTGAGAAACTCTGGCTTTTCCTGCTCAGCTAGTGCCCAGATGCAGCAGGTATAGAGAGGAGAAGGCAACTACCAAGCACTCCTCTCAAGGATGGGGCTGTGTCCGGGGCTCAGGAATGTGCACTGAGACAAGACTCACGTGAGATGTAATTCTTATCTAACAAGACATTCCACGGTTTGGAGGCTCACGCTACCAGGTCCTTACCTTTCCTGTCCTCCTCAAGGCTGGCTTCTTGATGGCAGGAACTCTGGGTGCAGGCCGACGGGGCAGGAGTGGGGCCACCCCTGCTGTGGACTCTGGTTTGGAAGGCCCTTGGTCCCTTGGGGTTGTGGTAGTTAGGGCTTCTCCTGGGGTGCCTAAAATACACAATAGCATGGCTGAAGTGTCTAGGATGAGGTGATTTGCTACAAGGTTTAATCTTACATTCTAAGAGTAAATCACTCTTAGATTTACTAATGCAATGAATTGCCTTTACACTAAAAGAAAAAAAAATCTCTGAGGGTTGTCCCCAACCAGCCAGGCTCAGCCGCTAGCTTCTGCTTGCTTTCTCAGCAGGGATGGTGCTCTGGGGTCCGAGGATGGCCTTGGTGGGATCAGCAGTGCCCTGATGGCACATGCAGAGCTGTATGTGTGGGTGCATTTCTCTGGGGAGATGATCCAAAACTCCTCAAAATCTCTGCAGGGCCCATGACCGTGAAAATGTTAAGTTGGGAATCTGGGAAGATTTCAAACCTCAATTCTCTCCTTACCTCTCTATCCACAAAATTTTTTTTAAAAAAAGGTCTTTTCAAGATATAATTCACATACCACAAAATTCACCCTTTTTAAGGAAACAATTCAGTGGTTTTTAGTATATTCACAAAGTTGTGCAACAATTACCATTAATTTCAGGACATTTTATCACCTCAAAAAGAAACTCCATACCCATTAGAAGATACTCCCTATCCCATCCTTTCCTCAGCCCCCTGAAACCACAAATAACTTTCTGTCTCCATGGATTGCCTATTCTGGACACTTTATATAATGGAATCACATAATACATGGCCTTTTGTATTTAGCTGCTGTCACTTAGCATATTTTTAAGAATCATCCATGTGTAGTGTATGTTCATACTTCATTCTTTTTTTGTGGCTCAGTAATATTCTACCGTATGGTACCACCATGTTTTATCCACTCATTAGTTGATGGATACTTGGATCATTACATTCATGTAATTTTAGTTGTTTCTCTTTTTAATAAAAGAAACCACTTGTGATGGTGTTATCCTATCATCAACCTACTGTTGGTTGGATAACACCAACCATAGTGTTTCTCAGTCTCTTAATTCATACCCTCCTTAAATGTTATTTGGGAATTCCAAGTAAGTTAGATACCCCGACTGGAAGCAAACTGACACAAGTAATTGCATGCAGCTTTTCAGTGAGCATGATCCCCCCTCTCCAGAAGAGATTCCAGTACAAAAGAAAACAAAAAGCCAAAAAATGTTAGTTCCTAGGGATTTTGAATGCATGGGGGAAATTTCAGGCTAGAATGTGATTAACATGGGTTAAGGGAAGTAACAGCAACAAGAGATTAGCAGGCAGCATGCCAGAACCCACACTTGCTGCTGATTTACATGAAAGCAGATTTTGTGCCTGCAAGCAGGATACATACCTAACTATCTCTTTTTACAGAGCTAGCAGAATAAGTTAGTGCCCCGAGTGTTAACTGTTTCTAAAACTTTTTCATTTATTTTGGTCTCTCCCTTAAGTGCTGCTTAATAATTCTGAGATTATTTTTAGGTACTTAACTGAATTTTTACACGGGTGACAAATCCTACTTGCAGAATTTTATAAAATGTTGCTAAAGGGTGCTTTCATTTAATGCTGCCTCCAAAAAAATAAAAAGTTATATTCCCTTCTAGGCCCCTTTTAATAGGAGGATGAAAAGAAAAGGAGAATCAGCTTTTCTCCTTGGCAGGGGACGGGAACCCAGGGGGTCACCCACCTCCTCTGGCTTCCAGGAGAAATCGGATGGCTGCCTCTGCCTCCTGAGCATTGGTCGTTTTGATCTGCTTGACATTATAAGGTTTACTTATCCCAGTCCTTGCTTTGGGCTTGAGGACAGAATCGAGAGGAAAAGCATATTAACACAAGTGCAACATCAGCCTTACCAGGCGCGCTCACTGCCTACTCCCCTGCACACGAGGGTGAGACGTACAGACCCCACCATATGGCGAGTAAAACACAAACTCCCATCTCTCATGCTGAGAAGAGGAATGCAGTATTTAGAGTTGACTACTGGGTGGTCATAGATTTTTCCAATGTGGATAAACCATCTTCTATCTTAGTTTCTATAACAGATAAAAGCTGGAATGCATCAACAGAGGCCACCCCTTCCGCCTGTGTTATTAAAACACCTTCCAGGTATATGTGTTCTCAAAAGGGCTTGTTCTACCTCTTCCCCTTGCTACCTCTGAATCCAAACCGCTGGGTCACCTTTGATGACCCACCCGCCTTCCCTCCAGTAAACCACTGAGGCTGGCTGACTCCTCCTCTGCTGTGGATGCATGAGCCCCTGGCCCAGCTCTCAGCTGCACCCTCTGGGACACACGAACGTCCACCCAGCACCTGGCCTCACCGCCCTCCTCCCTCACCTCTGTCCTGCTGACCTTCACCTTCCCTTCCTTGCAGTTCACTGCCATCCTCTGTGACTCTCCACCTCTAAACTCCTACATGACTGTTACTATTACTAGTGTTCCCCTTATTTAGGCCCTGTTTGATCTCTTTGAGCCTCTTCTCCTAAGACAACTGATCTGAATTTCTCCTATTTTCCCTTCTACCAAGCACTGCTCTATCCTGCAAGGTCAAAGGTGAGCCCCCGAAGAGCAGAGCGGCAGATGAGTCTGGAAACCAATAATCCTGCCATGCGGAGACACTTGGGATTTTTCATCAACTAAGTCACAGAGGTTTTGGAAGAGCTGGTGAACAGGTAGAGGGTTAAGGAATATAAATCTCTATATCTCTTAACAGAGGTGATCCCACATAATGTTGGGGCTGAGGATGAACCATGGGGCAAAACCCTTGGGTAGGAAAGCCCGGCCCGGTTCACTTTGAGCTGAACACAGGAGAACTCACTGCTTGCTGAGGCGCTCCTGGCAGCAGCTTGGCTGTCTGCAAGATCGAATACTGCCCGTCAGTGCCAGAGGAGATGGACACATCTGAGGCCGACTTTTTCACCATTAAACCAGCTGTGAAAACCAAGCAGAGCAGCAACACAATCTCAGTGAAACGCCTGGCTGCGGCGAGGCAAAGGCCCGGCCAGGCGGGAGCAAGGCTGACCCCAGACGCTGTCAGGGTCCGCGTGGTCTGTGGGCGTTCAGAGCCGCCACCAAGTTCCTCCCTGGGTTCTCTAACAGCTTGTGCCCATGAATGTATTTTCTCTGTAGAAGCATTATTTGAATGCCAATTTTAATCTCACATCCTGGGGGGGAGAGGGGGGGGTATAGGGTTCAAATCTGATATAAAAGTCAATTCATTTTTAAGTGGTTTAAAACATCTACTGTTTTTAGGACCAAATTTAAAAAATGGTCTGTGGGCAAAATCTAAAACTCCCAAAGCAGGGGAATAAACTATATTAAATTATACTTGCAGCCATTAACAGATCATGTCTTAGAACAACATTTAATGAGCAGACATTAGACAAAATTAAACCAAACAAAATGAATACCAATTTTGTAAAAATAGTAATAAAATGTGTGTGTGTGTGTGTGTGTGTGTGTGTGTGTGTGTGTGTGTGTGTAAAACTGGGAGAAGCCTGAAGTCTCTGTTTAACAATTATCTCTAGGTTGTCAAGTGCATTTCAGAATCACATTTCTTTATCTATTTTTGTAAATTTTCACAATAATGACAAATTTTATTTTTTCTTTAATGTTTCCTTTTACTTTGCTGAAAAGTAAAAAATATGCTTCAAAGTCACATGCTTCTTATGGCTCTGCTGTCGATTACAATTGGGATTTAGGCCAAGATGAACCCCGTTCTACAAGGAAAGCCCTCGGAAACTAACCTGAATGTCTGACTCACATATTTTTTTTAGCCAGTAGCAGGAAAAGGAAACAGTACAGGTGAAATACAAATTGCTCAATAGCACGTCACAAACTTATTTTCAGGCTATTAGGGAAAATTTGGTGAGCAAAAACCATTGGGTTTTGAGGAGCCAGGAAGATAGACACTATCCTCTGGGACCCTCCAGGGAGAGCCTGCCCCCAGGGCTGCATGTGTGGTTCAGAGGAAGGACCCCCGGGGTGCACTCCCTTCATGCCTTAAAGCACCAGGGCCAGGAAGAAGCTGCCAAAGTCCCTTGCTTGGCTGTGGGCCCACTTTTCCATTCTCTTAGGTTTCAAACTGAAAGCAGCTTAAAGCAAAAACCCAGCTATAGGAGGATGAAGAAAAAGTTTATAAGGGACTCACTCAAAATGCCATGAGAAATGCAACTATTCTGATAGTAAGACAAAAAAGGAGCCCAGGAAGGAGAAAGGCACTGTGGTCAGTCCAAGGCCAGGAGCAGCTGACTTAGAGCCATTTGTGCAGTTGCAGGACACAGGCATTATTCCCAGCAGGCATCGTGGTAAGCCAAAAGCGAGCAAAATCTTACTTGGAGGGGGGGGTCTCTGTGGTGGGTGAGGTGGCCGAGGCCTACTGGGAACCGACAGAGACCTACTTGGAGAACGGTGACGGAAATCCCCAACTGCTTCCAGCTCCTGCTTTAGCTCCACCAGGTCAGCATCATCTGGAGGACATGGTGGAACGTGAGTGAGGTGAGTCAGGGGTCACTCAGGTCTGCACAGAGCCAACAGTGGCAGGAGGACCCCCTGAAGGACAGCTGAAGCATGTCCCTCTCTGCTGGCACGGGGAGAGGGATGGGGCACTCAATGCCTGCTTGGAATGTTCAATGGAATTGTGGACAAGGTTTGCTGTCTAGACAGGACAGACACTGAAATATTTCACAGTGTAGGCGTGTTTCCTACTAAAAAAAAAATCAGAGACTTCCACACAGAGTAGAGAAGGAAGCTGATAATCAGAGGCCCTCCCTTTTAATTCCTTAACTCTAAAATACAACTGCTGGGAAGCTGAGAACATCTCCCTTCTGCCAGCAGGCAGCCTGCCGTCCCAGGGCAAGCTCCAAGTGTGGAGTGTCCCTGCTCACGCATCACGTCCCAGATACTGCAGCCCATGGGCAAATACTTCATGAGCTGTCCTGCAAACCTAAGGCGAAGCTTGGCATGAGGCAGTGACCACTTCTGTTTTATTACATGTACATTTGTTATTATTTGTACATAAATTCAGGACAATTCCACACCACAGTGCAGCCCAATTCATTTTTGGATGAGATATCCCATTCTGCACCCCAACAGCTCAACTCCATGTGTCTTAGAAGCTGGAGCTGGGGATGAGCAGGATTTCTCCTAACAGGGATGCCTGTGCACCCCAAAGCCTCAAGGAGATGGCCTCTCGATGCCTGCTAGGGGACGAGGCCACCCACCCTGCCCATGTTGCTCTATTAATTCTTCATTCAACGAGGCCTTTGTGCTCACACCTACCCTCCCCTTGAGAGGCTGCCTGAGTGATGGCCACCCCTGAAAAAGAGGGAGCCACTGTCTTCAGCTACTTCTGCCCCAGTGCAGGGCACTCTAGATGTGAATGCACAGAACCACTGTGACATGCTGGAGAAGGCTGCTGCTCCTGCATCGGGCAGCAGGTTCCAAAGTTGGCCCTGCCCAGTCCCCTATGTTCCCCTTATTTAGGCCCTGTTTGATCTCTTTGAGCCTCTTCTCCTAAGACAACTGATCTGAATTTCTCCTATTTTCCCTTCTACCAAGCACTGCTCTATCCTGCAAGGTCAAAGGTGAGCCCCCGAAGAGCAGAGCGGCAGATGAGTCTGGAAACCAATAATCCTGCCATGCGGAGACACTTGGGATTTTTCATCAACTAAGTCACAGAGGTTTTGGAAGAGCTGGTGAACAGGTAGAGGGTTAAGGAATATAAATCTCTATATCTCTTAACAGAGGTGATCCCACATAATGTTGGGGCTGAGGATGAACCATGGGGCAAAACCCTTGGGTAGGAAAGCCCGGCCCGGTTCACTTTGAGCTGAACACAGGAGAACTCACTGCTTGCTGAGGCGCTCCTGGCAGCAGCTTGGCTGTCTGCAAGATCGAATACTGCCCGTCAGTGCCAGAGGAGATGGACACATCTGAGGCCGACTTTTTCACCATTAAACCAGCTGTGAAAACCAAGCAGAGCAGCAACACAATCTCAGTGAAACGCCTGGCTGCGGCGAGGCAAAGGCCCGGCCAGGCGGGAGCAAGGCTGACCCCAGACGCTGTCAGGGTCCGCGTGGTCTGTGGGCGTTCAGAGCCGCCACCAAGTTCCTCCCTGGGTTCTCTAACAGCTTGTGCCCATGAATGTATTTTCTCTGTAGAAGCATTATTTGAATGCCAATTTTAATCTCACATCCTGGGGGGGAGAGGGGGGGGTATAGGGTTCAAATCTGATATAAAAGTCAATTCATTTTTAAGTGGTTTAAAACATCTACTGTTTTTAGGACCAAATTTAAAAAATGGTCTGTGGGCAAAATCTAAAACTCCCAAAGCAGGGGAATAAACTATATTAAATTATACTTGCAGCCATTAACAGATCATGTCTTAGAACAACATTTAATGACCAGACATTAGACAAAATTAGACCAAACAAAATGAATACCAATTTTGTAAAAATAGTAATAAAATGTGTGTGTGTGTGTGTGTGTGTGTGTGTGTGTGTGTGTAAAACTGGGAGAAGCCTGAAGTCTCTGTTTAACAATTATCTCTAGGTTGTCAAGTGCATTTCAGAATCACATTTCTTTATCTATTTTTGTAAATTTTCACAATAATGACAAATTTTATTTTTTCTTTAATGTTTCCTTTTACTTTGCTGAAAAGTACAACTCTGAAAAGTAAAAAATATGCTTCAAAGTCACATGCTTCTTATGGCTCTGCTGTCGATTACAATTGGGATTTAGGCCAAGATGAACCCCGTTCTACAAGGAAAGCCCTCGGAAACTAACCTGAATGTCTGACTCACATTTTTTTTTAGCCAGTAGCAGGAAAAGGAAACAGTACAGGTGAAATACAAATTGCTCAATAGCACGTCACAAACTTATTTTCAGGCTATTAGGGAAAATTTGGTGAGCAAAAACCATTGGGTTTTGAGGAGCCAGGAAGATAGACACTATCCTCTGGGACCCTCCAGGGAGAGCCTGCCCCCAGGGCTGCATGTGTGGTTCAGAGGAAGGACCCCCGGGGTGCACTCCCTTCATGCCTTAAAGCACCAGGGCCAGGAAGAAGCTGCCAACGTCCCTTGCTTGGCTGTGGGCCCACTTTTCCATTCTCTTAGGTTTCAAACTGAAAGCAGCTTAAAGCAAAAACCCAGCTATAGGAGGATGAAGAAAAAGTTTATAAGGGACTCACTCAAAATGCCATGAGAAATGCAACTATTCTGATAGTAAGACAAAAAAGGAGCCCAGGAAGGAGAAAGGCACTGTGGTCAGTCCAAGGCCAGGAGCAGCTGACTTAGAGCCATTTGTGCAGTTGCAGGACACAGGCATTATTCCCAGCAGGCATCGTGGTAAGCCAAAAGCGAGCAAAATCTTACTTGGAGGGGGGGGTCTCTGTGGTGGGTGAGGTGGCCGAGGCCTACTGGGAACCGACAGAGACCTACTTGGAGAACGGTGACGGAAATCCCCAACTGCTTCCAGCTCCTGCTTTAGCTCCACCAGGTCAGCATCATCTGGAGGACATGGTGGAACGTGAGTGAGGTGAGTCAGGGGTCACTCAGGTCTGCACAGAGCCAACAGTGGCAGGAGGACCCCCTGAAGGACAGCTGAAGCATGTCCCTCTCTGCTGGCACGGGGAGAGGGATGGGGCACTCAATGCCTGCTTGGAATGTTCAATGGAATTGTGGACAAGGTTTGCTGTCTAGACAGGACAGACACTGAAATATTTCACAGTGTAGGCGTGTTTCCTACTAAAAAAAAAATCAGAGACTTCCACACAGAGTAGAGAAGGAAGCTGATAATCAGAGGCCCTCCCTTTTAATTCCTTAACTCTAAAATACAACTGCTGGGAAGCTGAGAACATCTCCCTTCTGCCAGCAGGCAGCCTGCCGTCCCAGGGCAAGCTCCAAGTGTGGAGTGTCCCTGCTCACGCATCACGTCCCAGATACTGCAGCCCATGGGCAAATACTTCATGAGCTGTCCTGCAAACCTAAGGCGAAGCTTGGCATGAGGCAGTGACCACTTCTGTTTTATTACATGTACATTTGTTATTATTTGTACATAAATTCAGGACAATTCCACACCACAGTGCAGCCCAATTCATTTTTGGATGAGATATCCCATTCTGCACCCCAACAGCTCAACTCCATGTGTCTTAGAAGCTGGAGCTGGGGATGAGCAGGATTTCTCCTAACAGGGATGCCTGTGCACCCCAAAGCCTCAAGGAGATGGCCTCTCGATGCCTGCTAGGGGACGAGGCCACCCACCCTGCCCATGTTGCTCTATTAATTCTTCATTCAACGAGGCCTTTGTGCTCACACCTACCCTCCCCTTGAGAGGCTGCCTGAGTGATGGCCACCCCTGAAAAAGAGGGAGCCACTGTCTTCAGCTACTTCTGCCCCAGTGCAGGGCACTCTAGATGTGAATGCACAGAACCACTGTGACATGCTGGAGAAGGCTGCTGCTCCTGCATCGGGCAGCAGGTTCCAAAGTTGGCCCTGCCCAGTCCCCTGGGGGAGCTTCATGAAAGGCTGGACTTTCAGGGCCACAGCCCACCCCTGCCAAATCCACATCGCTAGGATCAAGCTCAGCAACCTGTATGTTTAAAAGCTCCTGAGGCTTCAGTGCAGCCAGGCTACTGACCAGCTTCTGGACCGCAATACAAAAGCCTTGGGCAGGGCGTGCGGTCTTTGCACCTCTTCCTGCAAATCACCTTCCTGGGAAGCATCTTAGCTCACTTCCACCCTGTTCCTGTTCTCAGCCTCAGTTCAAAGGCTCCAGACACAGGGCTAGGCTCCTGGACCTGCTGGTTTTAGCTCTCCCCCAACAGGGGAGACACAGTGACCAAGAGCTGGAAGGCACTTATGGCTGTGGATAAAATTGTGCCATAGGAGTCTGACGCTGAAACACGAGCTACCCTGCCTTCCAGCTCATGTAATCTCAGGGTGCTTTTAAATTTATTCAAAAGGGTCATTATGCAAAATAACCCAGGGACTTGCATTTCCATCTGTATGACCTTCAGTCTCTCTTTACCTAAAATGATACGATGATGCGAATGTAGACTGTTACTCTGCAATAATATGATGCTGTATGGAAGTAACGACACCCTTGCAACGCAGGACTCAGGCACTGAATGTCTCTTATGGGACTGAATCAGAAAAGGTTTGAAGAGGGAAAAAAAAAAAATCACAAATGTAAATCCGGTTCAGAGCTGTGGCCATTTACATGTAGAGAGAGGGAACAGGAGCTATCATGAGTCAGTGTGGACCGGACCAGCTGTAAATAAATAAAAAAATCACTAGAGAAAGTCATGTAGTGGTACTGCATTCCCGCCCAGGGCCCAGCCTCCACCATTTGCTACGACCCGTTTTCTAGCCCTTCCGTGGGGCCTGCGCACCTGCATTATGTGATGTCCCCCTGCTGAGACAGTGCGCTCAGTGCCAGAGGCTGTTCAGGAAAGGAAGGGCCAAGCTACCTTTGTAGGTTGGACGTTGCTTCTTCTTGGTGAGTGCAGGTGACTTGCTGGGAGGGGCCGCTGTGGAGGGGCTGGGTGCGTCAGGAAGGCCCTCTCCCCCTAGTTCACTGTCCAAGACTGCAGGCTGACTTAGCTCATCCCCCAAATCATCTTCATCATCCTCGAGAATATCCCCTTGAAGATGGACATCACAGCACATGATTAGTGTGGAAAGGCCAGAGCCTTTCCTTGGTGAGCCTATTTCAACACCAAGCCCTGTGGCTCATGTCAGAACATCTGCAGCACAGCCGCCAGCAGCCCAGGGCATCCACACATCAGCAGGTATGGGGCCCCAGTTCCATTCATGCCTGAGACAGGCTGCCCAACATCCTCAAAGCCACTGTCACTTAGGACGCCTCCGGGCCTTCGTTGCTGTTTCATGCACTATCCCTACGCGTGGAAACCACCCGAC